ACCTGAACAGAGACGTCGAGCGAGACAGCGGCGCCTCGCAGGAAATGTGCAAGGTCTATTTCAAGCAGATCCAGAAAGCTGCACGAGACCAGGGCACAGTGATCGCTGAGGCTGCCGAAGCTGCTGCGGCCGTGTACACCGGTCTTGTGGCGCTGTTGGAATTGGCGGCAATCTCTGAAGACATTCGCTGGTGGGCAAGCAAGGTTCCGGAAGTCAAGAAGCAGACCAAGCATGTACAAGCTTGGCTTGCGCATCCCAAAGAGGAAGATCGGCTGTTCAAGGCCCTTGCTCACGGCATCAAGGCGGACGAGAAAAAGAATATGCGCCGCGAGCGCACTTTCGGCCAGTTGGACGCCGAAGCTGCAGGGAGTTCCTCCTCGACGCCACTTTCTGTCAATGACTCTGACTCCATTTCCACGGACTCGAGCTCGGCGCTCAGTGGCAAGAAGAAGAAGAAGAAGAACGCCCGGGCGCACAAGAAAAGCAACGAGGTCAAGCACAAGAAGCATCGCAAGACGGAGAAGAAGGCAAAGGGACGCGATGCTTCGGATCCCAAGGCAAAACGGGCCCGCCGCCATACAAAGAAGACCTCCTCTTCCAGCGACTCGCCAAGTCGCAGCGTTCGCCAGAAGCAGCGGAAGGTCGAGCATGGCAGTGACAGCACATCGGCGGAAGCCGTCCCTGCTGCAGTCGCTGTGCTGCCGCCCTTTCGGGACATTTGGCCGCTGGCAGAGATTCAAGCCTTTGAAACCAAAGCTCAAGAGCTGGCCACGGCAGCCGATAGTGCTGAGTTGGCTGTCAAAGACAAAATCGGGCTGCTCAAGTGTTTGCCTGTCGAGGTTCAGACCCTGGTTCTCGAACGTGCTGGCTTGCGATCCACGGCGGAAGATGACGTCCTGCAAGCCAACGCTGAGCGCGTCTCCAAGCACATTACTGAGATGGTGCGCGAGGCCCGCCTGGCCTGGATCCAAGCTGCTATCCACGAAGACTCCAGCAAGGGCAAGAGCAAGGTGCTGCTCCTACCTGAGAAAGATGTCTGGGACCGCATGCAGGTAGGTACTCTGCCTGAGCCGGATCGAGCCAAATGGACTACCGAAGACGAGGTCGACGAAGCCCGCGCAGAACTGCTGAAAGCGGTTTGGTCCAAGGAAGCTGTCCTTCGCAACTATGAGCGGACTTTGGAGTTTGCCGAGAAGTACCAGACTCGGGAACCAAAGAAGGACGCGGTCCGTGCCTTCCTGGCCCTGTTCAAGGAGGAAACCTTGCAACTCTTCGCCCTGCCATCCCTTCAGAAATTCGAGAAGCGCAAAGCTCCAACGTGGACCACCTACTGCTCCGCTGCATACACCCTGGCCTGGCTGGTGTTCAAGGCGCACTGTGACGCAGACTCCTCGGACACGCCGTGACATGGCCGCTCTGGCGACTGGCGCCGACGACCAGCGGTAGACGACTGCCATGTGCATCTCGCACCGGTCTCGACAGCGCTGTGCGCTGGCCATGCACCGACGCCTGTATAGAGATGGCAGGAACTACCCGGCGCTTCCTTTTGAATCTGAGTATAGGTGAGGCTCCTACGCGCCAGCGCAGCTATTGTGAATGGATTGCTCTCGCGCCTGCGGAAAAGATCTGCATTGCGTGTGCTGTTGTGCATGCCAGAAAGATCGGCAGATGAGACGCAGGGGAAGGAGGAAAGAGAGAAGAGAGGCAAAGCGAGAGGAAGAAAAAGAGAGAAAAAGAGAGAGAGAGAGAGAGAGAGAGAGAGAGAGAGACAGAGACAGAGACAGAGACAGAGACAGAGACAGAGACAGAGACAGAGACAGAGACAGAGACAGAGACAGAGACAGAGACAGAGACAGAGACAGAGACAGAGACAGAGACAGAGACAGAGACAGTCAAAGAGTCAGAGAGTCAGACATAGAGAGCAAACACGGGAAGCAGCAACCGGTTCTTTTCTCTACTTAGGCAGCATGTCTGCACTGAGCTATTCTTGTTCAAGCTGGAGTCTCGCCGTTCCCCAGTGGTCCTCCTTGCGCGCTTGCAAGGCTTCGTCGTCCTTCTCTATGAAGGAACCGCAAGCTCCCTGCCAAAGTACTCTATTATTCTGCCAGGGTGCCGGCAATGTTGCCCTCGCCGGGGTTGCCCCCGCCAGGGTTGCGCCTGCCAGGGTTGTTTCCCGCCGCATTCCCTCCATCTCATCCGGGTTATTCCGGAGTCCTGCGACCTTGGAAAAACCGACAGGGAGCTTGCCCTGGCTTTAGCTATGGCCTTGAGGGTGTCTTAAACACAGTAGTTTGGATCCAGGACAGTGTAGGCTCAAGCAACAGCAGCAGTACGTCCCACCCCGGCCATCGGGGAGAGTTGAGGCGAAAGCCCCCTTGATAGGGGCCCCCTCCCCCGGCAGGGTTGCCCCCGCCGCCCCGCCAGGGTTGCCCCCCCCCACCAGGGTTGCCCCACCAGGGTTGCCCCCACCACAGGGTTGCCCACGGCAGGGTTGCCCCCGTCAGGGTTGTCCTCCGCCAGGGTTGCCCTGCCAGTTGCGCCCAAAATTCCTTTCCAACTTTCCAGCATCGCTCTGCAGGGTTGCCCTCGCCAGGGTGACAGGGTTGCCCCCGCCAGAGTTGCGCACCACATTTGCCTTGGCAGGGTTGCCCCTGCCAGGGTTGCCCCCGCCAGGGTTGTCCCAGCCAGGGTTGCCCTTGTGAGGGTTGTCCCATGTTGTCCCCCTCAGGGTTGCCCCCGCCAGGGTCTCATTTGCAAGATTGCTCTAAAGAGGTCGTTGCCCCCGCCAAGGTTGCCCCAACCCCGGCGCATGTCGCCTACTTGTGCAAATTCTCCGTGACGGCCCTCCCAGACCACCTGTCCTCCTTGCGCGCTTGCGAGGCTTCGTCGTCCTTCTCTATGAAGGAACCACAAGCTCCCTGCCAAAGTACAATTATTCTGCCAGGGTGCCGGCAACGTTGCCCTTGCCAGGGTTGCCCCCACCAGGGTTGCGCCTGCCAGGGTTGCCCCCGCCGCACTCCCTCCATCTCATCTGGGTTATTCCGGAGTCCTGCGACCAACATGGCTCGGGTTGGAAAAACCGACACGGGGCTTAGCTATCCCTGGACGTCCAAAGGACAAGGTAGCCACGGGAGGAAGGGAAAGACCACGAAAGCCCTGACCCCGCAATATAAGAAAGTTGACAGGGTAGGGAGGCAGCAAAGGAAATCATCAACAAGGAAGCTTGGAAGCCTTATTTCCTGAGAAATATGCACTGCAGTCGTCGAGAGATAGAGAATATATGTATGTATATATATATATATATAAATGCATTATACGGGGCTTGGTGAATATGTGTGCAGGCTTAGAGAGACGTCAGTCTTTGTGAGTTTCGATCTTGTTTGCCTGGATTCAGCGTGTGCATGGTGCTCTAACACTGTGTCACGACCTCTCTGCACGCTTGCACATTCGCTCAATCATGATTAATCGGACATTGATAACTGGGGTCCTCGCTACCTCACACTTTGCATGCCCCAGATTCAAAACATCCCCGGCGAACCCTTTGTGTAAAGCCAAGAACCCAAAATACAGTACCCCCAAACGCATTGGATTGTGGGATTTTACGAGTTTGTGGGGGGAGGTGGGGGAATGACTACAATTAATTCTGAACATGTTGTTTTTGCCCACTCCCTCCACAAAGTGAGTTGTTCACAGGGTTGCTCAGCAAAAATGGAAAAACCTCGGGCAATTTCCTGCGCAGGGTTCTGCTGGAGTCCCACTGCCTACCTGCAGGAGCCAACAGGGGGCGCGATCACCAAGGCACGAATTCCAAAGCAAAAAAACCGAATTTTGCTAACCTCCCCTCGAACCACTCAAGATGAGCCCTCATCTGAATGGGGGTCTGGGCCAGAAGAGGCCTTTTTGTGGGGGATGGGGGGGTACCGGGGGGGTGGGGGGCTTTGGGGGGAAGGGGGAGGGGTGCGTGGGCCCATACATGTCTCCTGCACTCTCAAATTGCAAGTAAACAGCAACAAGCTCCAAAAAAAGGATGATTTTTCAGAATCCAAGAAGAGAAGCAGCGATTTTGTACATGCTCGAGCGATTCACCGAAAAAGTGGGTATTCACGGTCGTTTCACGGGGTTCTCACGCGGTTCTCACGGGGTTCTCACGGGGTTCTCACGCGATTTTCACGCGCGTTTTTTCCTGTTAACTCATCTTTCGCGGAATAACATCGCGGCTCCGTGTTTTTGCCAGCTTTTCCCTGCCAACACTCAACCCCAAGCCAGCTGCACAGTCCGACCCCTGAAAAGCAGAGGTGGGTGTGTCGTGAAGTTCTTATTTGACCGTGACTTGTCTCAGCAACCTCGTCCGAACGACCTTTTCCTGACGTGTGCTTGTTGGAAAGTTTCTTCTCCTTTGCTTGCTCGATACATCTGATGTCACTGCTGAAGCGTGCAAAAATCTCAAGAGCGCTATCCAAGGTACGTTAACGTCTAGGAACGTTCTGATGTGTGTCTGTGTGGAGTATTTCTGGCATTGCCTTCTGCATGCCAGCACCTGTTTGTTTAGGGAACATGTGCAAAGACCTTGCTTTTCAGGACCGCGCTTCCTATGAGTCAGTTAAGTTGCGTTCAATTGTTCGTGTCGGGTTGGTGCACACATCTTTTCTAATGCCCAGCTATGAACGATCGCGATTTCCTTTGTTTGAAGTTGTTGCATCAAAAATCAAAGCACATGGCTCAAGTATGGAAAATATACGGGCGATTGCTTGTGAGCCCACAGGTCCAACTGTAAGCATCGGAGCAAACTACCGACATGTGCCTGGAGCCTACCAGGCCTGCAGAGCACCAATGTCACCACTATCGCAAGGACAGCAGCTACAGCTATTGTTTGTTCTGCTTTGCTTGGTGGGAATCAGACAGCACCTACAACCGATGCAGAGATCGATCTGGCTTGAAGAAATCAGCGCCGAAGTCGGAAATATGACGTGAAACTCTGCAAAACCTCCGATGTTCATCTTCTAAAGGTATTGGAAATCCCAGAGTTCATAAAGGACTAGGTTACCACGTCCGATGGCAAAGGACAAGGTAGCCACGTCGGCGGACCGCCAGGGTATGGCCTTGAGGGTGTCTTAAACACAGTAGTTTGGATCCAGGACAGTGTAGGCTCAAGCAACAGCAGCAGTACGTCCCATCCCGGCCATCGGGGAGAGTGGAGGTGAAAGCCCCCTTGATAGGGGGCTGGGGGGTAGACCGCTCTAAACCCGAAAAAGGCGGTAGTTTGGGTGGTTGGGGTGGGATCCGCTGCACCGAGGCGGCCCGACCCGCCACCACTCCCTGGCGCGGGTCGGGACCGCGGCACTTTGGAACACCCTAAACCCTAAACCCTAAACCGTTTTCAATGATGAAAATCAGGACCCTGGTTGGCTCCCACAGTGGGCTTTTAGGGCTTAAGTTATTTTCGGGTCGAAGGTATTTAAGGCTTAAGGTGTCTAGGGTTGAGGGTTTAAGGTATTTTAGGCTTAAGGTTTCCAGGGTTGAAGGTCTAAGGTATTTAAGGCTTAAGGTGTCTAGGGTTGAAGGTATTGGGGGTTTGAGGAATTCAGGGTTTAAGGTATTTGGTTAGGGTGTAGGGGCTTTTGGGGTTCAGGGTATATAGGGTTTCGGGCCACCGTCAGCAGATCTGGGCCAGGAAGTCCACGCATGTGGGCCTTGAAGTTTCCTGGCGCCCGAGAAGTTCAAGCATCGGAGTCTCGTCTTTCTCCTCCTCGATCGGCATCATCAAGGAGCATCCCTTCATTGAAGGTTCGTTAGGCTCATGTGTGCGGTGCGTTTAGGGGGATTTGAGTCAGGATAGCAGAGAAGACTGTGCGCCAAAACCCATAGGACAAGAACCGAATCCGCAGACCGATGAGAAGCCTTGGCACAGGTTTCCAAACTTGCATCTACCATCGCGAAAGCTTTAGGGTTTCCCCTTACCCCCCCCCTAAACCCTAAACCCTTAACCCTTAAACCCTAGGCCCTAAACCCTACACCCTAAACCCTAAACCAACAAAAAAAGAAGATCCAAGCCCTGGCTCTGTTCATCGCCAGCGTAGTGCAGGGGCAGCCCCGGCCAGAATGTGATGATCACCAGGCAGACACGCAGGTGCCGAGTGCCTGAGAAAGCGGGGGGGGAGGGGGAGGGGGAAACCGTGGCTCCAACTGGGGAATGTACCCTAAACTTCGCTCAAAACACGAATCATCCCTGAACCCTAAGAACCCAAAAAACCCGAATAACCCGAAACCCTAAGAACGCAAATCCCTAGTAACCCTAAATCCTCAATTCCCTAACCGCTTCCTGAAGTTCCGGGTTTTAAGTTTAGGATTCGGAAGGGTCACTGGTCGGCCGTAAACGTCCCTTATGGCCCCTTGCTGTGGATGTGTGGTTTGCGGGGTCCCCTGCCCTAAGCCCCGCAAGCACCAAGGTTAGGTGTTTTGAGGCCCCTCAGCCCTGAACCCTTTCTGCTACCTTAAGCTTACAAAAAAAATCAAAGGGTAGTTGCATGGTCCCTATGGTCCCTTACCCTCTTTCAAGGGTTCTGAAAGAAAGGCCCTTGGGGAGATAAAGGGTCCCTTTGAAGGGCCCATTTATGGGGACCATAAAACTACCCTATGATAAACTTAGTAGCCCAGTAACCATCTTATAATACGGGCACCCTTTTCTAAGTGGTTACTCACAAGGAACCTTGAGCCCCCCAAAAAGGGAAAAGGGTACCACTGGGGTACCAAGTATAAGCATCCAACACCCAACCTGTGGGTGTCCGGCCGGGCCCCAAGAAAGCGCGAAAACAAAAAAAATCAACTTGGCGGGTTGTCAGTCTTGTATCCTTGCCCCTTATTCCTAAGCCCGATGCCCATCTTCACCCTACATCCCCAAGCCCGAAACGCCGAAACCCGATGTTGGGCTTGGTTTGAAGGTTTGGGGGCTTATAGGGGCCCCCTCGAAGCCGAAACCCTAAACCACCGAGTTTGAAACTGCCCGGTTTAGGGTGGTTTGGGGTGTACGGTGTAGGGCTTAGCGTGTATCAGAATTGCAAAAAGGCAAGGCGCTGGTCATGCTCTGCAGGCGCCAGTTGTCGTGGTTGTTGCAGAAGTTCCACATGGAATACTCATGCCGCCCACTGGCCTCGGCTGCTTCGGCTCGGAAAATTCTCGGATTTTTGGGGCTTAGGGTTTGGCTTGGTGGCCTAGAAACCATATATTAGAAAAAAAAAAGGTACCCTTTTTTGGGGGGTTGGGTACTTTAGAAGGGAACCTCGAACCAAAAGAAAAAAGGGTAAAGGGCCCCGCTGGGCTACCAAGTTGGGGTTTTGAATAGGGGTTTATTTAGGGTTGTAGGGTTTTAGGCTTAGGGTTTAGGGTTTTAGGGTTTTAGGGTTTTAGGGTTTTAGGGTTTTAGGGTTTTAGGGTTTTAGGGTTTTAGGGTTTTAGGGTTTTAGGGTTTTAGGGTTTTAGGGGTTAGGGTTGAGGCAAGGCGTACGGATTATTCACTTTCGGGCCTGGCAAGGCCATGCGTTGATGCGATTGCAAGCCTACTAGCTGAAACCCCCAGAGAAAAACACAACACTGCAACAGGTCCTCGTAAACAGGGAAAGCACAACATGACATACCCAAAAGTCCTGTACCTAGATTCTATAAGACTAAGATACTAATTCGTAGCAAGCTTGCGGGCTTCATGGAAACCCTACACCCGAAACCCTGAACCCCCTAAACCCTAAACCCCAAACCCTAAACCCTAAACCCCAAACCCCAAACCCTAAACCCTAAACCCCACACCCAGGGGCCGGCTCAAACACGTCGATCATGCTCCGCTCTTCGGCGTAGGCCAGGGCGAAGCCATCCGCGTACTTGGGCTGGTCGTACACGAAGGCGGTGAACATGTACCAGTAGTACCTGGGTGTATAGGTGCGCTTAATTAGGGTTTAGGGTTTAGGGTTTAGGGTTTAGGGTTTAGGGTTTAGGGTTTAGGGTTTAGGGTTTAGGGTTTAGGGTTTAGGGTTTAGACACCTGGGTTGTAGGGCTCAGAGGCTTTGTAGAGTTTAATGATAGGGTTTAGAGGGCTCATAAGGCTTAACGGGTTCAAACTTTGGGTTTCTGGGGTGTAATTGATAGGGTTTAGTTGTAGGGTTTACCATTAGTACCTGGGCTTGAGGGCTCAGATGGTTGATAGGGCGTTGTAGGGTCTTTACAGGGTCTCTATAAGGGTTGGCTTATAGGGCTTAACGGTTTGGAGGTTTTACAGGGCGTATTTGGTCTAAAGGTTCAGTCGCTGACCCTCTGGGCCTTCAGCGCCTTGATTGAAGGCAATGACCCCTAAACCCTAAACCCTAAACCCTAAACCCTAAACCCTAAACCCTAAACCCTAAACCCTAAACCCTAAACCCTAAACCCTAACCCCTAAACCCTAAACCCTCAAAAGACGGTGACCCCGAGCCCCTCAACCCTCAAACCCGCAAACACTAAGCCATGTCTTCCCCCCCCCCCCCCCCCCCACCGCACCCTTAACCGCAATCCCAAAGGGAGATGTCGTATAGGGGTTTCCGAAAATAGGGATACCCCTTTTGGGGTCCCTTTAAGGGGATTCTACTCTATTTGGGGTATAAAAGGTGTACCCCTATTTTGGGCAATACCGTATTACCCCTACAGGTTTATGAGCATCTGAAGACATCCTGCGGAAGATTCTGTAACCAAGGCTGCGCGACAGCTGAAATGCGGCCCCTTCCCCCGCTCCTCATCCCACCCCTCCCCGCCCACAAAAAAGAGACGCCGAACTTAACCTACACCCTAAACCCTAAACCCTAAACTCTAAATCCTAAAGCCTAAACCCTAAACCCAAAACCCCTAAACCCTCAAACCCTAAACCCCTAAACCCTAAACCCTAAATCCCTAAACCCCTAAACCCTAAACCCTAAACCCTAAACCCTTCAAGCCCAGGGTACGAATAGACGATGCCGCCCTTCATCGTTGCCGGGCCGTCGATGAAGCGCTCTGTGCCATACCTTGGCCCACTTTGTCGGAGCCTAAACCCTAAACCCTAAACCCTAAACCCTAAACCCTAAACCCTAAACCCTAAACCCTAAACCCTAGACCCTAGACCCTAGACCCTAGACCCTAAACCTCTACCCGAAACCCCACACCCCAAACCCCAAACCCCAAACCCCAAACCCCAAACCCTAAACCCTAAACCCTTCCTAGGTCTGGGTTTAGGGTTCAGGGTTCAGGGCTTAGGGCTTAGGGTTCAGGGCTAGACCCAGAAGTAACCTAGGAACAAAAAGGGTGCCCTTCGCGGTCTAAAGCGGGTTGTAAGGGAACCTAAACTCTGCAAAAAGGGAATCAAGGCATACTCTGGGTCCTAGGCTACAACCGCGGATGTAAGTAGGGCACAGCCTGGGGCGATCGAAGCGCTACATTTCAGACAGAGCTTACTCAAGGTGTGGCCCTAACCATAAACCCTATACCCCAAACCCTAAACCCTAAACCCCAAACCCGAAACCCCAAGTCCGGGGCCCGAAGCCGAACCGATGACGAAGGTGGATGCTCTGGGCCCCGGCTCCCCAGCACATTTTGCGGTTTAAGGTTTAGGGTTTAGGGTTTAGGGCTAGGGTTTAAGGGGTTCGGTTTTAGGGTTTAGGGTTTAGGGTTCAGGGTTTAGGGTTTTGTGGTTTAGGGTTTAGGGGCTTAGCTTTCAGGCTTCTTGAGTGTCCCTATTTCTCCAATAACCAAGGGGACAAAAATGAGGTTAAGGTTTATAATTCCTACTAGTAAGGAACCAAACAGGGTTTAACTGTATATTTCCTACAAATACAGAAGCCCAAAGAGTTTCAAGTTCTACTATTGGCCACATACGTGTTTAGGGCTCCTGTAGACCCTGACAATGATCTGATATACCTAGACGAACCCTGATCGCTGGGCCCTGGGTCCTAAACCTTCAGCCCCTGTAGATTGGGATCTTCCCCCGTATACTAACAGTGCTTAATAGGGATTTCTAATACCCTCCCCATTACAATCCCTATCGGGGGGACATCCCAACCTAAAAAAAACTAGCTGTGGAAGGAAAGCCGCATGGTGTGATCTCGTCCTCGCCCTGTCCTGGGTTGTGAATTTGGGCGCCGAGGTGAGTTAAAACCCTAAACCCTAAACCTTAGACCCTAAATCCTAAACCCTAAACCCAGTATGGGGGAGGGGGGGCAAGTGTGCTGCTGTAGGGAGGTTCTGACGGTACTGCCTACCTTAAGAACACCAAGCCTACCTTTTTGTAAGGTTCCTATACAGGGGTTTATACCAAGAACCTACCAAAAAAAAGGGTTGGGTTCTTAAGGTAGCGCCTACCTAGGACCTGCAACCCCATCAACCCTGAAATTGTTAACTCCCTTACAGCCCCTCTCTTCATGCCTACGAAACAACGCACACTCTTTCAGCCCTAACTCTGTGAAGCTCAACCCTAAACCCTAAACTCTAGACCCTAAACCCTAAACCCTTTTCTCCTCAAAGGTCTGGGACATTGTCTGCGACGTTTGGGGCTCGAAACTTGTCCTAAAGCGCAACCCTAAGCCCTCAAACCCTAAGCCTGAATCAGTGAATAACTGGCTGGTTCTAATTAGGGAATGAGGGAACAAGGGTACCCTCTATAATCCCTTGAAGGGTACATATAGGGCCCTGATGCCCTCATTCCCTTCTAAGAACCAAGGGAAAAAAGCCTTAAAAGGTCCATGGCTCATTGTGGCGTAGCGCTCGGGTGTCACGTAGAACTCGCCGAACAAGCCTGGTGGCAGGAGGCCGCGGGTATCACCCTTAAACCCTAAACCCTAGGGTTATTAGGGCTTATAGGAGTTCAAGGTTTGCAGAAGAACCTAAAACCCTACAACCCTTTGAGAATTTTCCTTATTGGGGGGGGGGGGGGGGGGGGGGGTCCCTTCATGTTGCTTTTTTGGCAGGGGACGATCCTCGCGAAAACCAGGACTTCACAATCACCGTATACCGCGTTGAAAAGTGGAAGCCGTATACGGGCTTCGGGCAAAACCCGAAATCAAAACCCCTTAAACCCCTAAGCCTGGTTGTCCTGTAGGACTGACTGATGAAAACAAAAGGATGCTCACCACGTAAAGAGGCCGAAGCAAGCAAGAGAGAGAGGGAGAGAGAAAGAGAGAGAGGGAGAGCGAAAGAGAGAGAGAGAGAGAGAACGTTTGCGCGTGCGTGCGCACGCGTGTGTATGGTTTGTGTGTGTGTGTGGGTGCTTGCTGCTTGCGCGCGCTAACATCGTATGACAGAGCGCTGGTATTGCCCAGATACCTCGTGGAGGTGCTGCCACTTCGCCCGGCTCTTGCTGCGTGGGCTGGTGCATGGGACTGGGCATAAAAGTCACGAAGTGAAGGAATGGCTCCAGCTTTTGTTCCGTCATGTCTGAGGGCGCGGCTGGAAGATTTCAGCAGACGCGGACATCTGGAACGCAGATGTTGAGCCTGGTTCCTTGTCGCTGGCAGCGCTTCTCACCTTGGCCATTGTGTTCCGGAGCTCCCGTCTGGCTCGGAGCAAGGAGGCATGTGCAGGTATGTGTGTGAGGGTGGGTGTGTGCGTGCGTGTGCGCGTGCGTCTGTGTCAAATTATTGTTGCGTTGTACATTTGCCGGTTGTTTCATGTTGCGGTAAGACGTGGCATTTGGCATTCTTGTTTTGTGCAGTGAGTCCGTGGGTGTTTGTGTTTGCGGCGAGCACTGGTAAGGATGTAGAGCGCGTTTTTGATTTTGAGTTTGTAGTTTGTGCCAAGATTAGTGATAGAGGAAAATAACTCTCAATGTAAGTATCCGCCTAAGTGCAACCACTGCTCGGAAAAACGATGGCAGGGACGAGGACGGCCACGGTTTGAACGGTTTTCCAGGGCAAAAAGTGTGATGCTTACGAGAAAGAACTGCAAAACGCCTCAGATCTGCAGGAGCTGGACTCAGCTCTAAGTACCAGCGCCGTAGCGGAACTCCAAGAGCGGGGGCAACTTTGGGCACAGGCCACGCTGCCGCTGACAGGACCTGCGTGAGGTGGGGTAGTAGTCAGCGTGCTGCAAAACAAATCGACGTTGGAGTCACTGGTGTGGACATGGTTCAAGAAGCTGAACTTCAGACCGCCGCTCAAATCACCAGACTAGGTTGATTGAATCACTCCATGTGGCTCGATGAGCTGGTCAGGGCGTTCACCATCTGCAGCCTCGAAATGTTGACTGGTACGATCTTCCCAGCACATAGCGACGTTATCTGAGAAAGGTGTGGCCGACACCTTGTGGAGATCAAAAGCAAGGTTACCAAGCGCTTTGCCAGCAGCATGTTCGAGGACATATGGCAAGATGAAGCTGTGCTCAAGTTTTTCAAAAGGCTTGGAATTAGAGGGCAAGGGCAGGATCCCAGGCACCTGGCCCACCCTTAATTAGACTCGGGCGGAGGGAAAACCATAAGTCGGAACTCAGAGAGAGTTGCAGAAGCTGGCTCAGCTTGACGAGCGCCCTGCAGAAAGATAACTGAAGCCTGCTGGTTGGTAACCTCACGCGGCGACTCTTCTCAAGCTTCACTTACGATATGGTGGTGAAAAGCAGCCTGGCCAGCAGTCTCCATGAACAGGTTGGCACTCTCGACCAGTGGATCCATGGCGGAAGAGGCTTGGAGTTGATGTGTCATGGTCTTTCTATCAAGCGCTAGCCAGAGTACAAGTCAGATCGAGGCAAGCCAACTCCTTGAATTCGCTTGCAAGAACTTACCTCTTCTGTGCAGCGCACGAAGAGATAGGGCTTATAGGGTGCAAGGGTTGTAGGGTTTGTAGTGTTTGTAGGGCTCGTAGGGTTCATAGGGCTCGAGGGGCTCATAGGGTTTATAGGTCATGGGCTTTGGCAGAACTCCACGCGAACTCTGAGCCCTAAATGATTCAAAAAACCTGATCCCAGAACCCCGCCCCCCACCCGCCCCAAAAAAAGATAAAGAAGAAATAACAACAAACAAAGGCCTTTGGAGTGTCCAACCTTAGGCTCGAAACCCAAAATATGAATTTCCCACAATAGGGACCTCCTTGAAAGACCCCCCAAAGTAGTATAAGGTTTAGGGTTCAGTGTTTAGGGTTGAGGGTCATCTATAATGGTTGCACCCTGCGCCCTCAATTTCGCCCCCCACACCCATCCCCTAAAATAGTATAACCCTTGTCTAAGAACCCTCCACCAAAATCCTTTTCCTTATTTAAGGGCAATATAGGGACTATGATCTTTTTTTTTTTTTTGGGGGGGGGGGGTGCTTCAGCAAGTAGTGGTTGTTAACACAACCCCCCAGAAAGGGCCCCCGAATTCTGGGAAAACACTCCCAAATCCGCAAAAACGGGTGCTTGACCAAGGCGCCGAAGCTTTCTTTGCCTCAGAAGCCATGCTACGGGGTTTAGGTTTAGGGCTTCGGGTTTCGGGTTTAGGGTTTAGGGCTTCGGGTTTAGGGTTTAGGGGTTTTGAGGGGTGGGGGTGGGAGGATTGGATTGAGGTGCAGGGTTTGAGGTTCAACCCCCTTCCGAATTCTCTTCGACCCAACAGAAATGCAAACCCCAAACCAATTTCCAGCGTCGAGTGGAATTCCTGGGTAGGGTCAAGATTTAGGCATTACCTAGACCTCAAAGTTACCCATCTTCTGGTTTCCCTGCTTAGGGTGCTCATAGGAATCCGAACCCACAGAGCCCTACCTCTGGAGTAGACGCTGGAAAAAAGTATATACTTTTTAGGTAGAAGTAGCTAGGATGGGAACCCAGAACGAAAAAAGTATTAAAGTATAGTACTCCCAAACCCACAGAACCCTACAGGGTGGGGCCCCTAGTTATAAGTAGAGTTGTAAGGGCCCTAAATTGGGTTATAAGGATCCTAAGTTAGGTTACAAGTCCCTTAACTACAGTTAGTATAGTAAGGGGGCCCCACCCTGTATGCCCCAAATGCCGCGGAAGCCACCCAGGGACTTGGCGTGCGAACGCACCGCAGGCGCCCAGGCCTTGTAGAAGCTCAGTGGAACTTGCCTCGGAATTCAGCGTTTACGAACCCTATATAAACCCTGAACCCTAAGCCCGAACCCTAAGCCCTGAACCCTAAGCCTGAAAATAGTTTTTGGGGGGTTTGGGGTTGAGGGTGTTGGGTTTAGGTTTAGGGTTGGGATCCTAAGGGTAGCCTAAAGGAACACACCCTAAAGCCCTGCTCTTGTAGGCTTTGGCTTTGGGCAGCTTAGGGCTTAAGGGTCTTGAAGATTCGGACAAGGGCTTCGGGGCTTAAGTTCAGAAAATTCCAGCACCTCAAACCCTACATAGATCCTAAACCCCCCAACCCTACACCCTTGCAAGAAGTTAAAGCTTTTGTATGTAAGACCTATACCCTTAGAACCCTAAGCCCACTCTTTCTTTGTAGGTTCTTCGTATAAATCCCCTCCTAGGGTTTTTGGGAACCCTACGAAAAACAGGGTTAGCCCTAAACCTCTAGACCCCCCCCAAAATGCTCTGATCCTAACAGGAACGTTGTCCCAACACTTCCGGAAACGACTGGCACGGCTCACAAGCCCTAAACCCTAAACCCTAAGCCCTACACCCTTGGCCCTAAACCCAAACCCTTAACCCAAAGCCCAAAGCCCTAAACCCTAACCCTAAACCCTAAACCCTAAACCCTAAACCCTAAACCCTAAACCCTAAACCCTAGACTCTCAAGTCTTGTGGAGCTGGAGGCATGGGGGTGTCTACGCGGAAGCCGTCCACGTCGCAGCTGGAGATCAATGCTTTGCTCATGGCCTCGGCTTGCGGTTTAGGGTTTAGGGTTTAGGGTTTAGGGTTTAGGGTTTAGGGTGTAGGGTTTAGGGTTTAGGGTTTAGGGTTCAGGGTTCAGGGTTCAGGGTTTAGGGTAAAGGGTAACCTAACTTAACGCTGATGTCTACTACCAGAGGGACATGATCGCTGGGTTTCCGGAAACCCCTGTGGTGTTGAGACCTTACCTTACAAGCTGATGGGAGCCATTTTTTGGAAGTCCGACCAGACCGGGCAGTTTCGGGTTTGGGTTTGGGGATATATATATATATATATATATATATATATATCTGTATACATATACATATATATATATATATGTGCTTTTCTTCAAAAAGGGGTCTTGGGCTCTGCGGGCATGTGCTTCCGACTCGTCGCGTTCTGCAGGCTCTCCAGAATAAGGACTGTAGTGTTTTTGTGCCCTCGGGTCCGGACGGTTGGGTAGGGTTTGATCAGGCCTTTTCCTTTGCCCTGGAAGCCCTAAACCCTAAACCCTAAACCCTAAACCCTAAACCCCAAATCCTAAACTCTCAACCCTAAACCGTGAACCTTTGACACGGAGTCGGATATCCTGCCGCCGCCGCGGTGTATGCAATCGAGGCAACTGCTGTCGTCACAAAATTCATCACTCAAGGGCACGGGTCACTTCCCCTAAACCCTAAACCCTAAACCCTAATCCCTATACCCTAAACCCTAAACCCTACACCCTAAACCTGGCACTGGGAGTCTCTCGGGATCGGCAGTGGAAGCGGCGGCCGCGCGACCCGAGGCCAGCCGAGGTTTAGGGGGTGTAGGGGTGTAGCGGTTTAGGGTTTCGGGTATAGAGTTTAGGGTTTAGGCTTAGGGTTTAGGGTTTAGGGTTTAGGGTTGAGGGGTTGAGGGGTTGAGGGGTTTAGGCCTTAGGGTTTCGGGTTTGGGGTTTGGGGGGGGAGGCTGGGGGGGCTGACCTCGCTTTGGAGTTGAAATTTATAGGGGTTAGGCTTTTTTGGTGGTTTCAATTTGGGGTTGAAATCGAATTTTGTGGCTTGAGAGTAAGTTTAAGGGTCAGGATTCTGAAGGCTTTCCAGCCTTCAAAGCCCTGTTTGGGGCGCTGTGTTTATCGCGTATGCAAAGATGAACGTGTAGTGCACTAGAGGAGAGTTTGACCCGCCATGATGCCTACTCCCTCTGTACAGGGTGGGGCCCCCTTGCTATACTAACTGTAGTTAAGGGACTTATAACCTAACTTAGGATCCTTATAACCCAATTTAGGGCCCTTATAACTTTACTTATAACTAGGGGGCCCCAGCCTGTAGTTCTCAAGCCTGACGAAAGGATTGCCAAGATCCCAAACACCTGAACCCTCAAAGGACACACCTTGGACCGCCAGAAACCGATGATTCAAACGGTGCTGCTCTTTTTTGCCCAAAAACGGGGGTTTTTCGGTTTAGGGTTTAGGGTTTAGGGTTTAGGGTTTAGGATTTAGGGTTTAGGGGGGTGCAGAAGGCCTTCGGGATTTGGCAAAACAGGGTCTTGGCGGGCTTCCTGAGGCTTTGGCGATGTACTTCCGCTGTACACGGGCATGCTCCAAACGGAGATCGTCCATGGTTCCGTACAACTTGCCTCGGAGAGAAGGCTGGGCTGTAAGGGAGCTGCAGGCTCCAAGGCTCTATGTTAGGTTTTAGGGCCTTAGGGTGTTAGGGACATAGGCTGTTGGGGTCTAAGGTTTCGGGTCTCACCCCTAAACCCAAAACTCTCAAACGATGCATGATGGCGGAGTGCAGGAAGTCCGAGGGTTAGCGCCAAAAAATCCTAAAACATATCTGCCGAAAACCATCTGTCAGCGCGAATCAACGGAGATTTCAGGTTTAGGGGTTTGGGCCAGAGGTTCAAAACCCCAAAGGTCTTAGGGTTTCGGGGTTCCGGAGCACAAGAACCCTAAACCCTAAACCCTAAACCCTAAACCCTAAACCCTAAACCCTAAACCCTAAACCCTAAACCCTAAACCCTAAACCCTGAACCCTGAACCCTGAACCCTGAACCCTGAACCCTGAACCCTGCAATCTCCAACTTCTCTCGGCCCAGGTGCCGAAATGAATCTGGAAGGGGTCATAGTAGTCCTGTGCATGGGCGTGTCTTGCACGACGAATATTCATGGTCTAGGGTTAAACCCCGAACCCTAAACCCTGAACCCTAAACCCTAAACCCTACACCCTAAACCCTAAACCCTAAACCCTTTGAGTTTAAGGAACCTTCTCGGACCAAGGGATGAACTGTGTTACGTTTGCCTGTGTTTCTCTTAAAAACCTTCAGAGCCTTCCGACAGAAAGAAGGAGCTAGCTACCCTTAAAAATTCTCTTTAGGGGTATAGTCTACAAGTGGAGGGATAAACAACAAAGAGGTACCTAGTCCCCTAGTTCCCTTCTAAGAACCAAAACGTGTCAAACGCGATGTAGACGAGGCAGTGTGTTTCTGAAAGCCAACCGCAGCCTGAGCTGCAAAACCCAAAATGCCCACAGCCCCCAAAGCTAGTAAACCTTTTTGCCTATGACACAAAAGCCTAACAACCCAAAACCCAAGACCCACAAGCTGCACAAAGTCCTACCGAACCCTAAGCCCAAACCTGAACCCTGAAGCCCCCAAAAACAACCTCAACCCTGCAGGTACAATAACCCCTAGTAAGGACTGTTCGTATGAGGGGTAACAACACAATCCCAAAACTAACACGCCCCATTGAATCGGAACCAGAATCGGAACAGTTGACGTCTTGGCACCCCCGCAAGTACGATGCGCTTCTAAAACCGCCGCCCTTAGAACCAGCTAGAGGACATCGGCTAAAGGGAAATGCCTTCATCACCTTAGTCGCTGAGTACCCAGGGGCGCTGAGTACCCTGGGCCAAGGAAGTTTAACCTTTCAACGATGGTAGGATTATTATTAAAACCCCAAAAGGTGAACGGCTACTTCCTCAGCTACTCAGAATGATTGGCCCATGTCTCTGTTTAGCGGTAGGCTACGCTGAGGTAAGGCCAAAAAGCCTTTAGGAGTAAGCTCCAAGGCTCATAGGTTCAGTCTCTGCACAAGCTACCAGATAGGCGTTAGAGTTTGGGGTTCAGGATTTTAGGGGTTTAGGGTTGGGATGTTCCCCCTTAAAAGGGATTATAGTACCCCCTCTGATAATCCATATTAAGGACTGTTAGGATAAGGGGAACATCCCAAGTTTAGGGTTTAGGGGTACCAAGTCAGTATCTCAAGTTGGACGTCAGACGGAACGGCAACTGTATAGTCAAGCATGGCAAGCAACTGGGCGAAGGCACTTGCGCCAGTTCGCGCCGTAAAGTGCAGGAGTTTGTCACCCCTGCACCCTCTCCGACCAAATCTTTTCTGCCTCATGAACCAGGCTCCGGGGTATACTGTAGATGTACACCAAAAGCCTCACACCCCTAAATCCTAAATCCTACGTCCTTCGCCCTATAAGTCCTCAGCCCTGCATCCATACCCTGGCACACAACGGTCAACAAAACAAACATCCAGAAACACCAAAAGTCGAACTCATGGCTGTCAACTCACCCGTTTAGGAGGGTGGTGGGTGTAGCGGAAGTCCGTCGCTTCAAGCCTCGTGTTAAGCCTCCAACTGCCATACCATGTTAAGGGCTAAGGGGTTTAGGGGTTAGGATTTCAGGGTTTAAGGGTTTCTGTTCCCAGAATTACGAAACCCTAAACCCTAAACCCTACACCCCAAACCCTCAACCCTAAACCCTAAACGTTTAAGGGTTTCAGGGTTTAAGGGTTTAGGGGAGCCACTGAGACATGTTGGGCTGGGACTCGGGAATCGGTGGGGTGGTCTGCAAAGGAAGCCCAAAGAACCGAAGAAGCCGATGACCTAGCTCTGGCAGGTTTAGGGTTTAGGGATCAGGGTTTAGGGTTTAGGGTCAAGGGTTTAGGGTTTAGGGTTTAGGGTTTAGGGTGGAATGTAGGGATTTGGGGGGCTCAACCCCGAAGAGTTTAGGGTGCAGTGCTCAGGAGCGCTCAACCTCCCCCAACCACCCCCCCTCCCTCAAACCGGACATCTCAAAGACCCAAGGCCCTAAACCCTAAACCCTAAACCCTAAACCCTAAACCCGAAAGCCCTAAGCCCTAAACCCTAAACCCTAAACCCTAAACCCCTGAACCCACCTACAGCACATCATGCATCCCTGCGTCGACTGCCGACACCATGTGCCACAACCCGAACGCCCAAAAAGAAGCAAAGACACAGAAACTACAAAGCGGAGAGTAAAAGCGGAATCTTCTGAAGTGAAGGGTTTAGGGTTTAGGGTTTAGGGTTTAGGGTTTAGGGTTTAGGGTTTAGGGTTTAGGGTTTAGGGTTTAGGGTTTAGGGTTTAGGGTTTAGGTTAGGGTTTAGGGTTTAGGGTTTAGGGTTTAGGGTTTAGGGTTTAGGGTTTAGGGTTTAGGGTTTAGGGTTTAGGGTTTAGGGTTTAGGTTTAGAGTTTAGAGTTTAGGGTTTAGGGTTTAGGGTTTAGGGTTTAGGGTTTAGGTTAAGAGTTTAGGGTTTAGGGTTTAGGGTTAGGTTTAGGGTTTTGGTCTTAATTCTTGGTAACCCATTAATTAACCTTACCATTTTTGGGTTGATCACTTTGTAAGGGAAGCATGAACCAAAAAAATGAGAAAAAAACAACATACCACTTGAGATCTGGGCTACGAAAGCTAGAAACGCGGCTGACAAGCAAGCTGGAGCCTGACCGAGGGGGGGGGGGGGGGGGGGGGGGGGGGGGGGGGGGGGGGGGGGGTGGGGGGGGGGGGGGCCTGAAAAGGTGGGGGGGGGTGGGGGGGGGGTGGGTGGGGGGGGGGGGCGGGGGGGGGGGGGGGGGGGCCCAAAAGTGGCGGGGGGAGGGGGTGCCAAAAGGGGGGGGGGGGGGGGGGGGGGGGGGGGGGGGGGGGGGCGGACACCCCACAGCCGTTTATCTCTTTGATTTTCATACCACTTAAGGGTCGGGGTCGCTTTTTGACCCAGCTGAACACTAGAGAGAAGACTTGTAAACGACAACTCTCGCGAGCTCCAAGGAGCTAGCTTTCGTGACTGAGCTACCAAGCCCGAACACCCTAAACTCCCTACAAACCCTAAACCTAAACCCTAACCCTGAACTCCCTACAAACCCTAACCCTGAACCCGGGGAGTTTCAGGTGTAGGGTTTGAAGAGAAAGCCGGGCTGGAGAGCACCATCCCTAAGCCCTAAACCCCAAACCCTAAACCCTAAACCCACTGCCGTTCAAGAACTTGCGCTAAAGCCCACACAGTCCCCAAACCCCTGGCATCCCGGGCCCGACAATATGGAGCCTAAACCCGAAAAAAAACCTGTCGGGTCTGGGGGTTGGGGGTTCGGGGTTGGGGTTTGGGGGTTGGGGGTTTGGGGTTTGGCGTTTGGAGTTGGAGTTCAACCCACCCATGTTTTCATCTAAACCGTCTGGGTATTCCGCTGTCCCCTTGAACCAGCCTGCAAATCCCCGTTGTGGTGGAAGTCACTGCTGCTGTAGGTCCCACGACCTTGAAGACTTTGAGGGCTTGGGGTGTGTAGGACTTAGGGTTTAGGGGTTGAGGTATCAGGAATCGGAGTTTGGGGTTTAAGGATTCAGGCTTTGTACTGAATCCGACAGAGTTTGGTACATGTACCTTGGAAGGGGGATGTGACCGAATTTTCGGTGTCAGCCCGTTTGAAGGAAGGAAGACAAGGTCAAAAACATAAGCCACAGATTTGACTTCGGGATCCAGACATACTGACAGTATACAGGCTAGCCCTGCTGTTTCTTAATCAGAAATGATGGAACTAGGCACTCCTATACAAACCCTCTTCTAGGATCCCGGGAAGCTACACGGTCCCTTTACAGGGCCCTTAAAAGAGGACCCCATATAGACCCTGTAAAACCCAAGGGCCCGTAATTCAGAACCCTTGAAAGAAGGCAAGGGACCATATTAAGGGACCATGTAACTACCCTAAGGCTATAGGAGCCCTCAGTCCCTACTTAAGAAGCAGAACCCTAAACCGCCTAAACCCTAAACCCTAAACCCTAAACCCTAAACCCTAAAACCCTAAACCCTAAACTCTAAACCCTCAACCCTAAACCCTAAACCTTCGAACCAAGGCCGGCTGCCTCGGTCCACAGCAGGCTCGCCATGCTGGCCGTAGAGCGTGCCTGGCTCTGAAAAGATAAAACAGTGACGAACGACTAGGGTTTAGGGTTAGGGTTTCGGGGTTAGGGTTTAGGGTGTAGGGTGTAGGGTTTAGGGTTTGGGGTTTAGGATTTAGGGTTTAGGGTTTAAAGAAATTGTCTTATCTTTCATTTGTTGGGGGGAGGTTCTGAAAGAAGTGATTAAAAGGGCTACTTCCTCTGCCCACAAAGTTCGACAAAGGTACTCAATTGGTGCTTGGTTAAAGGCACAAGCACCTAATATAAGGGCGTTAGTAATCAGAAAGCGTTTGGGGGGGGGGGGGGGGGGGGGGGGGGGGGGGGCGGGGGGGTATTACAGGGTGGGGCCCCCTAGTTATAAGTAGAGTTATAAGGGCCCTAAATTGGGTTATAAGGATCCAAAGTTAGGTTATAAGTCCCTTAACTACAGTTAGTATAGTAAGGGGGCCCCACCCTGTATCGTAAGAATATCAAGGGACCACAAGGGAATACTATTGGGAACCATGCCGACCCCTGTATCTATACTCCCCTTAGAACCTTAATAACAATGATATACTGAATATCCTCTGTATTTTTATATAAACAAAAAAAACTCCCTAAACTCTAAACCCTAAACCCTAAACCCTAAACCCTAAGGTATCAGACTGCTGCCAAAAGTCCAGGTCCGGCCAGGGAAGTCTAGGTTCATTCGACCCGAAACCCCCAAACCCTAATCCCTGAAACCCCGAAACCGGGGGGGGGGGGGGGAAAAAACTAGTCTACAATTTGCTTAAGAACCCCAAAAGAAAAAACCCTACATTGCCCTTAATGAGGAAGAACAGTTATAAATTTTTTCGGGGTTCTTAGGCAATTAGTAGTCGTTGCTAAATGCCCACGGACCTTGTGAGTATACCAATGACAGATAGCTTTAGGGTTTAGGGTTTAGGGTTTAGGGTCTAGGGTTTAGGGTTTAGGGTCTAGGGTCTAGGGTTTAGGTTTTAGGGTTTAGGGTTTAGGGTTGTCTGAAAGCACCCCCACCTGGATACGAGGCGTCAGCATCCCAGGTGTTGTTGTACCAGAAGTCCATGTACCTGACTCCGGGACTGAGGCTTCGGGGGTGAGGGCAAGGTCCTCCCTCGATCCCAACTTGCTACACTTTCAATCCCACCACAACACCCCGAATTGACCGGGTTCTTGAGGGAAGGGGGTTCAAGGGGGGTATTAAATTAACCCAAGGTTCCCGAAAACTCCCTACTACTCCCTAAGGCTTCCTAAGCTTCCCTAAGGTTCCCTACGTACCTACCCCCCGTGAACCCCCCTCCCTTGAGAACCCCAAAATGGATTCCCTAACCCCTAATTAACCCCTGTAAACCATACTGGACCTCTGACGGCACTTCGTGGAATGTGGGTGGGTGAGCATTGTTCTGCGTGAAAAAGAAAAAAAGAAAAAATGCCAGTGGTGTTTGGGGGGGGGGGGGGGGGGGGGGGGGGGGCGGCATCTAGGCCCGAAGTTTTACGTCTCTAAACCACGAGCAAACCTAAAAAACCCTGAATTCCTAAACCCTACCCTAAACCCCAAACCCTGAGCCCTGTAACCCCAAATTCCCCGAGGTCTACAGCCAAGAAGATGAGGAGTTAGGGTTCAGGGTGTCGGGTGTTCTGGTTTTGGCCAAACAAAAAAAGAATCCACCACACCCCCCCCAACAAACCTAAACCCTACACTAATCCCATCCCCTAACCGAACCCCTTTGCCCTCAACCCTCAGTAAACACGCTTGAGCCCCTCAACCTCCAAGCGGCACCTCAATCCTACTGGTTCTAAGGTTTAGGATGGGCTTTGAGACTTGGGGCGTAGGGGTTGTGGGTTTAGGGGTTAGGGTTCAGGGGTCAGGGTTTGGGGTTTAGGGTTCAGGGTTCAGGTTTTAGGGTTTTAGGGTTTAGGGTGGGCGTCTGTTGACGCTGTGTTTTGGGTTCTGTGTTCTGACTGTGGTCAGCACACCAGGCAGCTCGTTGCATAAAGGTACCCTGGACACCCATCCTAGGAACTGCCCACCTACAGCCATAACCCTGAATCCCCTAGAAGCTTTACCCGAAGCCCGAAATCCCAAAGTCCCTAAACCCCTAGAAACCCCGAAACCCCTAAATTCCTGGAGACCCCGCCGCTGAAGAGACACGCAGTCATCCGCCCGCCCCGGCCCTCCCCACCAACACAAAATATGTGGAAACTCACGCGGAAACTCATAAGATTATGAATATATATATATATATATATGTATGTAGATATATATATATATATATAAGGTGTGAGTGTGTGTATATATATATATGTATGTATGTCTACCTATTCATTTTCTCTTCTTGCTAGATTTCATCAACAAAGACAACCATTCAGTCCAGAGGCGGCTGGCGCCCCGCAGGCGTCCAGTGGAGATCCGAGTTGGACCTCCAATGCGTCATAAAGGGGCGGCGATCGCTCCGACATGCTAGGGTGAAGGGTTTAGGGTTTAGGGTTTAGGGTTTAGGGTTAGGGTTTAGGGTTTGGGGTTTAGGGTTTACGGTTTAGGGTTTGGGGTTTGGGGTATGGGGTTTGGGGTTTGGGGCTTAGAGTTGAGGGGTGGGATCGAGTCCTCAGTGCTTGAAGCGCGTGTAAGGCATGAGGAGTTCAGGGAGGAGAGCTGCCTCAACATTCGAAGTCCCTTTTGGAACCCTAAACCCTAAACCCTAACCCTAAAAAGCCTAAAGCCTAAAGCCTAAACCCAAAAGCCAAAAGCCAAAAGCCTAAAGCCCAAAGCCCAAAGCCCAAAGCCCAAAGCCCAAAGCCCAAAGCCCTAACCTCAAACCCTAAACCCAAGAATGCGGCGTTCCTTCAGACCTCAAGCACAGGAGGCTTACTCGAGTTAAGAGGGTTTAGGGTGTAGGGTTGAGGGTTGAGGGTTGAAGGTTGAGGGGCTTAGTAGGGCTTATTGCGGCTTATAGGGTTTAGGGTTTTGGGGGGACATTACCCAAAACCCGAACCCTCAAGCTCGTCGGCGTCGAGGGGCCTTGGGGTTGAGACTTTCGGGTTTGAATGTTGACGGTTCAGGTGTTGGGTGGTTGGGCTGAGGGCTTCGGGTTGAATTAAGTCCAGGGTTTAGGGCATTTCGGGCCTTCGGGTGGGGGTTGAGGGGTGTTAGTGGCATACCCTAACCCTAAATCCTAAACCCTAAACCTAGTCAGATTGCAAAGCCCAGCCTCCTAGGCCTCAAATGATACTCGCGGCCACCCTCCTGCGCAGGTCAGGCGGGGCCCTAAAGGCCTGAAAGGCCTGGTATCGGGCTTAGGGCGATATGGTGTAGGGTTTAGGGTTCGGTATATATATATATATATTTATATATTTATTTATACGGTTTAGGGTTTTAGGGTTTTAGGCTACATGGTTTAGGGTTCGGGGGTTGGGCCGTAGGGATTTGCCGGCTTCGGGGTCTGTTTTTTTTGGGTTTTTTTTGGGGTTTTAGGGGCTTAGTAGTCTAGGAAGGGTCTGGGCATCGATCTATTTCTTGGTAGACCAGGAACCCCGTATGATGATAAGGGCACCCTTTCTGGGCTGGGTGCTAAGGGAACCTTGAACCAAAAAAAGGGAAAGGGCACCACTGGGCTACGAAGGTTTAGGGGCATGGCCTGCTGAGCGAGCTGGATAGGGCTTTGGGTTTTGGGTTTAGGGTTTAGGGTTTAGGGTTTAGGGTTCAGGGTCTTGGGTCAGGTAGCAAGTTTCTCTTGCAATGTAGCAGGCTCTGGTGTCTGAAGAAAGTTGAAAGCAACAGCGCCTTTGGGAAGTCCTTCTGGGTACCGTGACACATAGCCATGCCTGGGGGACCACACGAACCCTACAATTGCGGGCATATATACCCCAAAGCTAGTGGAATCCCCGTTACGGTATGCACCATAAACCGGCTTAGGATTTGCTTAAGAACCCATCTTTTGCGCTTTTTAGGGGGGGGGGGGGGGGGCTCTCCAAAGTGAACAGTACATGTGTGTTTTAAAGGATTGGGCCCTCAAAGTCTACACTTGGGCATTTTTAAACACTAGAGCCCTAGACCCCTAAACCATAAAGCCCTAAGCCGCGAAACCCCTAAAGCCTAAACCATATAGCCCTAATCCCTAAACCCTAAACCCTCAAACCTAAACCATGTGCCCTAACCCCTAAACCCTAAACACCCTCAAGCCGTAAGCACCGAAGCCCCATTAGCCTTTGCAGATGGTCCTCGTGGAGGCGAAAGGGGGCCTGGCCACCTTGATGGCCCTCAAAGAAGAACTCGTTGCCTTGGCTTCTTTCTTAGGCGTAGTTCGTAGGGTTTACGGTTTAGGGTTTCGGGTTTCAGGGTTGAGGGTTTAGGGTTTTCGGTTTCAGGGTGGAGGGTTTAGGGTTTAGGGTTTAGAAGGGCTCGGAGCGAATTCGGGTTAAGGGGCTGAAGGGCAGCTTGGGCCTGTTGGGGAAAACTTTGATATTCAGAGTCTAGGGTTTTGGCCTTGTGGCCCTGGAGGGGGTTGGGAGGTCAAGGTACTCATGTCAGGCAGAGCTGTGGTATGATGAAATTCCGCAAGTTACGCCCCAACACAAGCACCCGCACCGCTGCACCCTGAAACCCAACACTCCACCCCAAAGCCAAAACAACAACAGGCCAGCCACCCATGTGGTTCATCACCACGTCCACTATCACCTGGGCTGGCAGTGCGAGTAGAGCTAGGAAGTAGAATTTAGAACCCGGAGCCCGAAGCCCTAAGCCCTAAACCCTAAACCCTAAACCCTAAATTGATCTCCATCATAGTTGTCATCCAGAGGTTGCTCTGATGGTACGATCCGTGTATCTTCTTGGTTTGAAGAATTAATTAGGCCCCGCGGCTTCGTTAGGGTTTAGGGTTTGGGGTTTAAGTTTTAGGGTTTAGGGTTTAGGGTTTTGGGTTTGGGGTTTAAGGTTTAGGGTTAAATCGGTACCTTCTCCCTCAACATCCCTAGTGCCTTCGTCAGAATCAGTAGGTTTCTGGAAGGGTCTAGTAAGCAGATCCACCACGTCAGCTCTTGAGCTGTTTCGGGAGCTTGGTTTGGGATAGCACAGGGCCCAAACCCTAAACCCTAAAACCGCCAACGCCTAAATCCTAAGCCCTGCACCCTTGACACTGATTCTGGTCTAGATGTGGGCAGCTCTCCAAAATTAGGGTCCCTTTTGGGAATCTGCTTTTGAGGCTGTCGTACGATATGCTTTCTTTGGTACCGTACTATATATAGGACCCCAAAAGGGACTCTAATTAAACGTAGCGAACTACAAAGGCACCCTGACCTTGAGCCCCTTGTAAAGTCGCGATGAGACGTCGAAGCCTCCAACAGTACGCTGAGGGATTAGAGCTACCCCTAAGCCCCAAACCCTAAACCCTAAACCCTAAACCCTAAACCCTAAACCCTAAACCCTAAACCCCCAAAAACTCCATGATTCAGGGTTGCTTGGCCGGGACACGTACATGCCCAGCCGGTGCGCTTCGTCTGCCAGCTGTCGTAGCTCCTCCAGAGTTCCCAGGCGCCTGAGACGCTTGGGGTTTAGGGTTTAGGGGTTTGGGGTTTAGGGTTTAGGGTTTGTGGGGCTTGGGGATGTAGTTCTTGCGGTGTACTTAGGGTGTAGATCTTAGGTTTCACCCCTAAAGTCCTTGAACCCTGAAGCCTACAAATAGGTTGGAAGCTTCAGGGGTTTTGGGCTTTAGGTCATCGGACCTAGGGCTTCAGCATTCAGAGCTTCGCTTTCAACTTTTAGGCCGTTGAGAAATTTGGGCTTTAAGGCTTTAGCGTTTGATTTTGGGGTCCCGTGGTTTTCGCGTTTGGATTTGAGTTGTGTCCTTGGAATTCTTAGGTTTAGGGCTCCTTTGGGTTTACAGGTCTGCGGGATCCGGCATGAAAGAAGGGTACAGATACCCGAGATGATGAAACAAAAACAAAGAAGCTGAACCGCTTGGGGTTTTAGGGTTTGGGTTTGGGGGTGTAGGGCTTAAGGATTTAGGCTTAGGGTTTGGGCTTTGGGTTTATTATAGGGTTTGGGGTGTAAGGCTCTAGAACCCTAAACCCTAAACCCTATAAGGCTCCGGAGTCTGGGGGTATGCGCCGAGGCTCCGATCGAGCAGCGTGAAGTCGGTCTGCGAGTACTGGTGGTACGAGTTGAAACCATTCCTGTGGGGTTCAGAGGGGTTTAGGGCTTAGGGCTTAGGGCTTAGGGTCTAGGGTCTAGGGTTTAGGGTTTAGGGGTGGCAAAGCTTATCTGCAGTCTGTACTTCCTGAACCTTCAAGACCCATAAGCCCTGAAGCACTGAAACCCTTTAAACCCTTGGAAACCCTATTTAAACTCCAAACCCTCAACCCTGAACCTGTCTGGGAGACGAAGGCGCTGGAAGATGGGCGAGATCCAAATCGCTTGGCAGCCCAAGCCCTTGATGTAGGGCAGCTTCTGTGTCCTTGGTCAAGGTCTGTCACTGTTGCGCTTCGAGGTTCAGGTTACAAAGGGCTTTTTTAAGTGTGGAGGACTGTTAAATCACACAAGAAGGTGGCATCTGCTTAACTGGGTTTTATCCTAAACCCTAAACCCTCAACCCACGGCACTCATCTACTCTTTGGATCCTACCAAAGTCTGGAGGGAGGATTTGAAACGACTTGAGCGTCCTGATGGCGCAGCAACTCGCTGCGTCCTGCCAAAAAACGAAGTTTGAGTTTAGGGTTTGGAATGAGGGTTTGGGGTTAAGGGTTTAGGGTTTAGAGTTTATAAGGTTTAGGGTTTAGGGTTTAGGGTTTGCTGTCTTTGGATGCAGCTCAGTGTAGGGTTGCAAGGTTTGAGCTTTTGTAGGGGTTCATGCTCTGTGGACCTGGTCGCTCCCGCGCACTGCAGAACCTGAATGCCTCAAGCTCCGTCACTGTGCAAGTTCGATTCCCAGCCCCTGGAACAAAAACGCTCACGAGTCCAAAGCCTAGGCGGGGGTTAGGGTTGAGGGTTTAGGGTTTACAGCTTAGGCTTTAGCCACTAGTTTAAGGTTTAGGGGCTCCACGACACAACAGAAAAACCCCAAATCCATGTCCCTGAACCGGAATACCACGCCCCAACTAATTACAAGGTAACTACAAAGTACACACAGCTCCACACCCTGCAAAAGGCCTCAACTGTAAACAGCCCCACACCTGATGCCCGAAACCCTACACATAGTGAGACATGACTCCCTATATTCATATGAATATTGGAAAGTACCGAGCATAGTCGGAGGGAACTGGGTTGACGCCTTAAAGCCGCGCTCACCAGCAATCCTAACTATGACCTCATAACTAAACCTTAATCCTACATCCTAAATACCGTATAACCTCATGATCCTATAATCCTATAATCCCCAACCCTACTGAACCAGTAGATAATCAATATCCCGGGACCCTACGCAGCAAAAAGGTGTAAGAGAGGCCAGCCACAGGCCCAAGAAGTCTCCGCCGTGCCTGTACCTTGGCTTCACGCTTTCCGGCACGTAGCCCCCCAACTTGGGTTATTTTCACCCCCCTAAACCCTAAACCCTAAACCCTGAGCCCTAATTACCCAAGCCCCCTAAACCTTAAACCCTAAACCCTAGACCCTAAACCCTAATTCAACCCTAAGCCCTCAAACCCCGAACCCTAAACCCTAAACCCTAACCCTAAACCCTAAACCCTAAACCCTAAACCCTAAAAACCCTAAACGCGACCTTGAGGGTCCCTTCGCAGTTCCTCAGGAGACTGTTCCGCAGGGTCTTTGCATCCTAAACCTGGCAAATGCCCGAATCCTGAGCCCCAGCCCTGACAGGGTTCAGGGTTCAGGGTTTAGGGTTTAGGGTTTAGGGTTTAGGGTTTAGGGTTTAGGGTTTAGGGTTTAGGGAACCTGCTGGAGTTATTCTACATTCTCGATACTTTTTTGAAAAGGTGGCTGGTGGTCGAGCCTGTAATTACACATTTTCTGCATGCAGCCAAGCTGCGTCATGTCTCGAACGTCGAAGCCTGCCAGGGAGGGGCTTAGCCCCAAACCCTAAACCCTAAACCCGAAACCTTAAACTCTCAACCCTAAACCCCAAACCCTAAACCCTCTAAACCCTAAACCCTAAACCCTCTAAACCGTCAGCCCTGAACCGCTGTACCGCCTAGAATGTAAGCATCGGGACCCAACGAGAGGTCTGATGGCCTGAAAGAGCCCCCACGCCCGAAACCCCCAAACTCCAAGTCTCCTTGGTATAGCCCAGCAACCATATTAAAATAGGTTTAGGGTTTAGGGTTAGGCAACGTTTAGTACCCGACATAGCACGTATAAAAGGAAATTAAACATGCTCCCTCAGATAACACCGACCCTTTGTAGGCCCCAGGGGTCCCAAAAAGGGTCTCCTTTAACCCCGCGGGTTTAGGGTTTAGGGCTTAGGGCTTAGGGCTTGGGGTTTAGGGTTTAGGGTTTAGGGTTTAGGGTTTAGGGTTTAGGGTTTAGGGTTTAGGCACCTTCTTGGTAAAGGTCGTTGTTGCGCGGGTCGCCATCGGCGAACCGATCTGTAATCAGCCTGGGCCATGTGAAGTTGAACGCCTCGAAGCCCTAAGCACCTAATAACTCCCGAGCCCTAACCCTGCTACCCTACCTACCAAACCTATACTTGAAGGTTCATGGCACTTATTAACCAATTGTAGCTGCACGTATAACCCAAATTATGACCAGCCCCTTATTTGTGGGTTATAAATACGGTTATAATGCCAAACAACCTCGATCCAGATCCCTAGATCTTGGCCACCTGATGGCAGGGATTTCTTTAGTGGCACAGTCGCAAACCCTGGGAAGATCCAGAACAGAGATCCCTCCGACAAATTGAGGGTTTGTGGTTTAGGGTCCAGTAAGGTTTGGAGTTCGGGATCTCATCCGAACAAAGAAGCGCAAACCCCAAAACCCAAACTCTGACAACCCCCCGCCCCCCCCTAAACCCTAAGTCCCGCCCCCCCCCCTCCCCCGCCCTCCGTAAAAAAAAAAACTGGCTCTGAGGCTTTCGGAAGAAGCCCTAACCCCTAAACCCCACACTCTCATTAAACCCCACACCCTAAACCCCAAACCCTAAACCCTATAAACCCTACACAATCAACCCTGAACCCTAAACCCCTAAACCCTAAATCCCTAAACCCCATACCCAAACCCCTAATTCCTGGACATGCCGGAAGCCTCGGAATCCCGAAGTGGCGCGCCAAGCGGCTGATAGATGGATATAAACCCTGAACCCTAAACCCCTAAACCCCTAAACCCCTAAACCCTAAACCCTAAACCCTGAGCCTAGGAATCCCCAAGTGGCGCGCCAAGCGGCTGATAGATGGATAGGGAGCGCCAGTCGCCGGGGGATGGGAAGTAAGTGTGATTTCTCCACTCGCCTCCATTGAGCACGGGTGCAAGTCGGAGAGTTTTAAGGTTACAAGGTTCAGGGTTTAGGATTTAGGGTTTCGAGTTTAGGGTTTGAAAAGTTTAAAAATGCAGGGTTTTCAGGGTTCTACGATTTAAGGCTTGCTTGCTACAGTGCTGCATCACCCCAAGCAGCCATGGAAGCTCACACCCTTTTAGAGGGCATTAGGAGTTTCAAAGGTGTTAGATCGTTTTCGGGCTTTAAGGAGTTCTAAGGGTCATAGGGCTGGTAGGGTTATAGGACCCCGTAAAACCGTAAACCCTAAACTCTGAACCCCAAAACGCCCACAAGCCTCGATAGTTCTCCGGCGCATGGCGCTCCTGAAGGGAGCATGAAAGGGGGCGGCAAACCTACTCCATACAGTGCCCTTAAAAAAATCTTTAGGGTTTATAGGGTTTAGGGTCTAGGGTTTAGGGTTTAGGGTAAACCCGAATTTAGGGGCCTGAATGTTGCTGAGTATGATCCTCTCAAAACCCGAAGAGGTTTTTGGGCTTAGGGTTTAGAGTTTTGAACATGAGCCTCTTCTACCCAAGACGGGAAAATGCAAAATATCCCAAGGGCCTACCTAGGCTCCTACTGCCCACTTTTAGAAAAAACTGGAATCTTCCAGAAAGGAGTCCTTCCAGACCGCTCAAGTGCTGGACCGTACCACGTAACACTAGACCCTTATAAACCCTAAACCCTAGACCCTAGACCCTAGACGCTGAAGATTTCGGGTTCTAAGGGTGGTTAGGGTTTAGGGTTTGGGGTTTAGGGTTTAGGGTTTAGGGTTTAGGGTTTAGGGTGTAGGGTTTAGGGTGTAGAGGACTTGGAGAAGCTCACACCTTGGAGGACGGTTAGTATAATGGGGGAACATCCCAACTAACACCCTAAATTACGACTCGAAGCCCTAAGCCGAAACACGGACAGCAAACAACACACAAATAATGAACCCTAAACCCCAAACCCCAAACCCCAAACCGGAACCCCAAGCCCCAAACCCCAAACTCCAAACCTTAAAGCCCTAAAGCCCCAAAGCCCTAAAGCCCTAAAGCCCTAAAGCCCTAAAGCCCTAAACCCCAAACCCTAAACCCAAATACCCTCGAGGTCCTCTAAGTTGACGTTCCACCTCGCCTCAGATCGGGAGACACTTTCAAAGTTCTGGGGGGGTTTTAGGATCTTGGAGTTTAGAGTTCAGGGTTGCATGGGGTTTAGGGTTTAAGGTTTGGGGTTGAGGGTTCTGGGTTGAGGGTCGCTTGGGTTATAGGGTAGAGGGCTTCATTTCCCAAGGTCTGTTGGGGCGTGTGCAGACTAGAGGGCCAAGGAAGTCTCACCTCCCCATTAAGGAGCCCGGCTTCTTGAGTTTCACGGCCTACACACACAAAACCCTAAACCCTAAACCCTAAACCCTTACACCCTTAAACCCTAAAGGCCCTCTTCGGATGTTAGCAGCAATATAGTACGATGCCCCACTTAACCGCATGTTCTGGGTTTCGGGCGATAAACTCTCACTGCCCGAAGCCTCTGGTAAACCCGAAAATCTCGAGCTTCAGCATTCCCCCCCCCCCCCTTCCCCCATCACAAACACAACAACAAGTCTGAACTGTAGTATCAATGCTAGGACGTGCAGTGTTGACCGAAAAGATATGGTCCGCTTTTGGTATGCAACACCCAATGTATGCACTCTAACGAAGACCCACAAGGCCAAATACATATCCTACACGAACCCAAACCCCAGGCCAGCGCTTCAGTGCTCGATGTGCTTTGAGCTTGAGTATGGTTCATGGCCTGGGGTCTAGCAACCCTAACCCCCCCCCCCCCCTGAAGCCCTAAAGACTAACCCTAAAGCCTGAGCCCAGCAGACCCAAACCCAAAACTCTGGCTTCTCAGTGCCATTTCGGGAGATCTCGTGTCGGTGGTTGGGCACTTCTGTCAGGGGCATAGAAAGCCTCTACAAGAGTTCTGGCCACGTTTAGGCTTCTGGGGGAGGGGGAGCGGGGGGGTATAGGGTTTCCTAAACCTTGGGGTTTAGAGAGTTGGAAAGAGGCTGTATATAGGTGCTTTCGGGTTTTCTGCTTCAAAACCAGCCAAGTTGCATTGGCCTCTGTGAGGGGTGCGGCAAACGTCCGTGTCCATAATGTGATTAGGCCTTAGGTGGAGTTTAGGCCCTTAGGACATCCAGGGAGGTCTGCAACTGCACGTGCCCCAAACCGTAAAACCGGAACCTTAAACCCTAATCTCCGAAAACTTCATCCCTTAAACCCCACAACCTTATAATTCAACCCTAAACCCGAACCCAAGCCCCGTATCAAAATGAGGGCTTAGGGCTCAGAGTTTAGGGTTTAGGGTCTAGCGCTTGAGCCGACACGCTTCCTTGAGTTCCATCTGTAGTAGTGTGCTGGGCATGACAACCGGACGTTAGAGTCTTAGGGTAGTTTCATGGTCTCTTAGTATGGGCCCTTGAACGGGTACCCCGTAGATAGGGGTGACTGAATCAGTTCTTATGGGCCCTGGTGAATCCTCATACGGAGCCTTGCATTTAGGGTACCCGCACATGGGCCCATACAGTAGTTCATTCCAAACCAGGAAGGTGGGAATTTAGAGTTCCTTCTGTAGGATTCACCCTTATTTCAAAACCAATCCGGGAAAATACGAACCAAGGCCCTGCAAGGCCCCTGAAGGAGGAGCATTGGGAGTCGGGTTGGACAAGCTAGTCCTCGCTTGAAGGAAAACGCAAGCGAAGCAAAGGGGATCTTCAAACCCAGAAATCAAACCACTGAACCCTGCAGCCTGCAGAATAACCACTATTCTCACCTTTATACCCCCTACCTATGTAAACACGTTGAAGCCCAAACCCTAAAGCATTCTAAGCCCTAAACCCTGAGCCTGTTTGCCAAGCTGCTGTACAGAAAGAACCTCGCCCGGTGCACGCTTGCACATCTCGGCTTGCTCGCTCTGGGGAAGAGGATGGGCCCTAAAACCTCCAAAGCCCCAAACCCATGAAACCCTCCCCAACCCTCAAAACCCCCGAACCCCAAAATTGCACCCTAACCCGCAAAAGAACACAAAGCAACCCTTGGCTGTCAAGCCCTAAGCCCTAAAACCAAAGCAGCCCTAAGCAAACCTTACTTCCCAACTCTCTCAAGCCCTAGACACTCAACCCTCAACACCAAACAAACACGGAAAGCACCCCTGGCTGTGCTGTTGAGAAACACTCCCACATGCCCTTCGGAAGGGAAGGGGAACTTGGGATCAGGACAGTTGGGGATGTAGGGCTGATACGCTCAACCCTAAAGGCTCGAAACGCTACAAACCCTAAGCCGTGCAAACCCTAAGCCCTGCAAACCCTGTGCCCTACATACACTTAACTCTATGACCCTATCATCCCAGAATAAAACCTATCCAGAACATAAATCTAAGACCTTACAACGACCTTTCTAAAGAACCTATATACATATACTTTATATATAGGTGTATATAAAACCTACATAACCCCCTGTGACCACAACATCCCATTATTCAACCCATCAAGAACCGATAACATAGAACCCTCTAAGAGACCCCAAATCCCATGCCTATGAACAAAGAAACCTTCTAGAGGTGCTTCCTGGGTTCAGGGTTGAAGGTTTAGGGCAACCCTAACCAACCCTGAACCCTTGGAGGGTTAGGTGGGGTTTAGCGTTTGCCAGGATGGACGATTCTACCCTATACCCCCTTAAGAAGGCCCTTTAGAGGGTTGACTATGGGGATTTTCGGGCCGAATGGCCCATCCTGGTAGGGTTTAGGGTTTAGGGTTTCGGGTTTAGGGTTTAGGGTTCGAGGGTTCGAGAAGTTCGAGGGTTCGAGGGCTCGAGGGTTCGAGGGTTCGAGGCTTCGAGGGTTCGAGGCTTCGAGGGTTCGGATGCCGGGGCACTGCCACGCTGGCTGTCCGGGCATTGCCATTTTTGGGCCTCGTGGAGGAGCGACTTGCAGGGGGTGTAGGATGGTCTTTAGGGTTTAGATCCTTGACCCTTCAGCCCTAAACCCCAATCCCCACGATCCGGCGAACGCCCGAACCTTGAATCCGAAAAGTGCTGTGGGATGTTCCTCATACGCTTGGAGCCTTCAAACCTTGAAGCCGCAAAACCCTCAAGCCCTAAACCCTAAGCCCTAAATTAAAGCCCTTAAGCCTGCAAAACCCTCAAACCCACACCCTGAATACCCTAAATCTCCGAAATCACCTACCTGTGGGGTTGAGGCTCGAGTGTAGGCTTCGGGATTTGGATTTTGGGGCTCGCCTCGAAATACCTGAACCCCGAAACGCACACAAGTGGTAACTAAGTCAAAGTACCAGGTGGACCCTCCGAAGCCCTGAGCCGTACGCCTGAAACTCTCGAAGCCCCCCCGCCACCCCGACCCACCCACCGAAGAGCTCCCAAACTCCCGGAACCCTGAAACCTCGGGATCTCAACCCTCAACCCTAAACCCAAACCCAAACCCTAAACACCAAGCAACCCCCAAACACTAGACACCCCTAAACCCGAAACAACCCTAAACCCTAGACCCAAACCCGAAACCCCACAAGCCGGAAGCCCCAAACCAAAAAAAAATGGCCAGGCAAGCAGCCAAGGACACCCTTAAACCCTAAACAACCCTAAACCCTAAACCCTAAGCCCTACAAGCCAGAAGCCCCAAACCAAAGAAGATGGCTAGGCAAGCAGCCAAGGAGGGCCAATGCGGGGAGGCCGCTGCTGGCAGCGGAAGATGCACACCTTAGCTCAACAGGGGTTAGGGTTAGGGTTCAGGGTTCAGGGTTCAGGGTTCAGGGTTCAGGGTTCAGGGTTTAGGGTTTAGGGTTTAGGGTTTAGGGTTTAGGGTTTAGGGTTTAGGGTTAGGGTTTAGGGTTTAGGGCTTTTGGGTGTAGGGTTTATTTGGGGTTTGGGGTTTAGGGCTAGGAGAGTGTTTGTGCCCATTTTGGTGTTGCCAGGGCTTGGGCCTGCAGGGTTTTAGGACGCGTAAGGCCTTCAGGGTTGAGGATTGCAGGGTTCTTGGAGCTTCTAGGGTTCAGGGATCAGGGATGTCGGGTTTTGTGGCTTGGTAGGGTTGAGGGATTGTGCGCTTCGAATCTAGGGTTAAGGGCTTCTGGGGTGTAGGGTTTAATTCAGGGTTTAAGGCTTAGGGTTTAGGATTTAGGGTTTGGGGTTTGAGGTTTAGGGTTTAGGGCGCGGGAAACCCAACCCCAAACTCCAAACCCCCCCCCCCCCCCCAAAAACCCACTTCAGGTGTAGCTATTGGACATTGGTGCTCGCAACGAGCAAGTACATCTCCAGGTGTCTAAACCCTAAACCCTAAACC